GGTGATATTGCTTGATGGCCAAGCGAATAGTTATGAAGAATTAAAGTACTGTTCAGTTTCCTGCTCTGCATCAGTATAAATGGTTGCTGGGCTCATGTGTGAAGACTGAAGAAAATATATATTTTTTTAATTTTATTTATTTATTCATGAGAATACACAGAGAGGAGAGAGAGAGGCAGAGACACAGGCAGAGGGAGAAGCAGGCGCCATGCACCGGGAGCCCGACGTGGGACTCGATCCAAGGTCTCCAGGATCACACCCTGGGCTGCAGGTGGCACTAAACTGCTGAGCCACCGGGGCTGCCCTGAAGAAAATATTTCATTGTAATATTGTTATAGATGTTTAGGTAGGCCTTGTGTGATAATAAAGATTCTTTGGTAAGGCTGTCTGTCCCCCAGAACCTAAGAAACATGGAGCAGCTGGCCTTTAGGAAGACTAGGGGCCTTGAAAGATTCAGCCCCTGTAAAACCCACAATTTGAAGGCCTTTCTGAACCTAGGGAACTCTGGAAGCTTCTGGAGTTGTGTGTCTGCCCCCCTCATGCTATTTGTAGGACTAAGCTTTTTCTGGAAGGTCTCATTTATTCTAGTCCCTCTTTTGATTGGCTTGTTTTTCAGTACCTTGAAGCTTCTCTGTTTCTTTTTTTTCCCCTTCCTTTTTCTTTAAAAAGCCTATTTTAGACTTTATTGAATGATAAATACATTTCTATCATCTTTGATAGCTATAAATTCTTTTTTTACAGTATAATTCAAATTTTATTACATTTATATCTTCAGACAGAAATAAATAACAATTTTTTACAGTAGTTATCGCTAATGTGGAATTGTGCATTTAAAAAAATTTTTACTGTTAATATCTTCCTTTTTTACCTTTTTTATTTTTATAATTTTTAGTAAGTAAAAAAGAATAATGAAAATATAGCCTTTAGGAGATTAGATACATTTAAACACTCCAGAACCCACCCCCTAAAATTGAAAACACATATTTTACCTACTCTGAAAGTTTGTGTTCTGCCGGTCATTCTTTACTTAAGTTAAAAAAGATAAATAATTTAAATTACTAGTAAATGGCAAACAAAATTGCACAGGAGACAGTTTCTTATGTTTGGGTTTCATTGGGTCTAAGTTTAAGAGGTTGTATTTATTCCTTTTTATTTATTTAAAGTTAAGATACAGTGCAATATTGGTTTCAGGAGTAGAATCCAGTGATTCATTACTTACATGCAACACCCAGTGCTCATCACAAGTGCCCTCTGAATACCCATCCTCCATCTAGCCCATCCCCCATCCCCTCTCTCCCTCCATCACCTCTTGGTTTGTTCTATGTCTTCAAGAGTCTCTTTTGGCTTGTTTCCCTCTCTCCTTTTTTTTTTCTTTTCCCCCTTCCATATGTTCATCTGTTTTGTTTCTTAAATTCCATATGAGTGAGATCATTTATTTGTCTTTCTCTGACTTACTTCACTTAGTATAATACACTATAGCTCCATCCATGTTGATGCAAATGGCAAGACTTCATTGTTTTTGATGGCTGAGTAATATTCCATTGTCTACGTGTACCACATCTTCCCTATCCATTTCCCAGTTGATGGACATTTGGGCTCTCTTTCTGTATTTTGGCTATTGTATAATGCTGCTGTAAACATTGGGATGCAAGAACCCCTTCAAATCTGTATTTTTATATCCTTTGGGTAAATACCTCATAATACAATTGCTGGGTTGTAGGGTAGCTGTGTTTTCAACCCTATGTTTTTGAGGAAACTCCATACTGTTCTCCATAGTGGCTGCACCTGTTTGCATTCCCACCAACAGTGCAAGAGGGTTCCCCTTTCTCTGCATCCTTGTCAAGACCTGCTGTTTCTTGTGTTGTTAATCAGGTAGCTATAAATTCTTTACTGATATGCAGCTTACATATTTTAAAGTTCATCCATTTGGAGTACACAGTTCAATGAGAGTATATGTAAAGAGTTCTGCAAACATCACCATCACCTAATTTTAGAACATTTTTATCACCTGCCCCTAAAGAAACCTTGTTCCAACCAGAAGTCACTCTCCTCACCCCCTCGTTGTCCCTGGCAAGCCTAATCCACTTTTTTTTTCCCATATAAATTTGCTTGTTCTGGGTATTTCATTGAAATGGAGTAATACAAGAAGTGGTCTTCTATGTCTCATTTCTTTCACTTGGCATAATGTTCTTGAGGTTCATCCATAGTATAACATATATCAATATTTCATTCCTTTTTATTGTTGAATAATATTCCATTGCCTGGATATGCTACCTTTTGTTTATCCATTTGTAAGTTCATGAGTATTTGAGTTGTTTTTGCTGCTATTATAAATGAAATTGTCTTCTTAATTTCATTCTGGGTGTGTTAATTGCTAGTATATAGAAATACAATTGATTTTAGTAAGTTGATCTTGTATCCTGCAACCTTGCTGGATTTTTAAAATTCGCTCTAATCATTTTTTTAGTGGATTTCTTGGGATTTTTGTATTTATAAGGTCATGCCATCCAAGAATACAGTTTTCCTTTTTGTCCAATCCAGATACCTTATATTCTTACAGTTTCTGCTCCGACCTCTCTTTAGTTTACCATGATGACATCTCTGACTCAGTATCAAAACTTCTCTCTTTGCTATCTTTTTGTATGCTCTGAATTTTCAAGTTTAAATTTGAGAGAGCAATAGAGAGAGAAAAGGTGTATAGAATCTGAGTGGCTCAAGTGTTAGCTATTATTTTTGGTTAGGTAAAACTTTGCATTCTAGTTCATAGGTCTCTGGCTAATTAATAATGCTTTTGGATTAGATGATCACCAATAAGCTGTGGCCAGAGAAAAAGGGAGACCACAGGTCCTACCTAGGTAGCTCAAGACATTTTCTTTAGAAGGGACTGTAGGCATGCTTGGCCTTGAAATTGATACAGGTAGGTCAATATTGTTATAATAGGCATTTTTCCAAGAAAAAGTTGTATTTTTTTTTCAATTCAAGGTTTTTGTTTTGTTTTTGTTTTGTTTTTTTTTCTTTCTTCTTTCTTTCTTTCTTTCTTTCTTTCTTTTTTCTTTTCGGTAATGTTGTTTGGAATGGATTATTAATTCTAAAGTACTTTTTTTTAGGATTTTATTTATTTATTGATGAGAGACACACAGAGAGAGAGAGAGAGAGGCAGAGACACAGGCAGAGGGAGAAGCAGGCTCCATGCAGGGAGCCGGATGTGGGACTCGATCCCGGGACTCCTGAGATCACGCCCTGAGCCAAAGGCAGACAGATGCTCAACTGCTGAGCCATCCAGGCATTCCATCATAACTGTATTCAATATAATTAGTGATTCCTTCATATCTCTACTTTCTCCTTAAACTCTTGTAATTAGTTATTTTGATAATAATTAATTGAGCAACTGTTTTATGTAGAACCTCCAGTTTGTTCTATGTATTGGGGTAATAAGTGAGGAGGGTACATATATGGAGGGAATGTGCCCAAGAAAGACATAATCTTTGGGATTTTTAGTTCCCTGTAAAAGAAAGGTCTAAATATATTATACAATTTGAGAATAAGAACAAAATAACATAACACAATCTGGAAACATATACATTAAAAATAACAAAATCATGAATGGAATAAATTCATTACTCTACTGCTGACCAGGGATACAGAGATGAAAGACACGGTCTTGGCTCTAAGATTCCTCCAGTAATGAATAGCCAGTTTAAGGGGTGACTGGGTGGCTCCGTTCGAGGAACATGCGGCCCTTGATTTAGGGGTCATGAGTTCCAACCCCATGCTGGCTGTCGAGATTATTTAAATAAAACTTAAAAAAAAGATCATTGCAAGTTTTCTGAATGCCTTTGTGATAGGAGGAGGCCATGCTGTGTCGTGGTTGGTTGCTTTTAATGTTGAAAGGGATTCAAGAATAGTCCCATCATTAGCCTAATTTCCAAATCTGCCTCTGTAAGGCTATAGTCATATGACTGGAGTTACATGTCACAGGGCATTTAGCAAGTATTAATTCGATTTTTTTTTTTTTTTAATGGGCTCCATGCCTAGCACGTAGCCCAAGGTCGGACTCACACTCAGCATCTTGAGATCAAGACCCCAGCTGAGATCAAGAGTCAGATCCTTCACTGACTAAGCCACTGAGGTACCCCAATGGTAATTTTAAATGTGTGTATATCACTGAAAAATTATTTGCTGGTCTCGCAGAGGCGAAGTTCTGAACTAGAGACTTTCCAAAACAAACGATCTCGGCTTTGCCCCTAACGTAGGCCACTTCCGGTGATGGCTTGACTTCCTTTGCCTCGAGACGCCCCGGCCTCAGGCGGAAGGAGGTTCGGAGGTCCGGGGGGATGGACGGGCCGCAGGCTTGGGGCAGATGCTTTATTGTCTGTTTTCACGCCTGCAGACCTGAAAACCACGACATTTAAAATCCTATTTTACAGAGGTAAACAGAACAGGGCATGGTACACACAGTCCTCAGGAGCTACGGCCCTAGGGCGAGTTTCTGGATTTTTATTGCTTTTATGGCTCAGGCTAAAATGAACGTTTGCATGTTTTGCCTCCTGTTTCTATTGTTAGGAATCCAGGAATGGCTTCGTTAGGACAGAGCATCTCCCTGGTCAAACTGCGAGTTCCCTTTGGTTAAGACTTCGTACGTTCCGAGTCACCGACCTAAGTTTCTAGAACAATACGCTTCGTTAGAGGGACGGACTTCCCTCGCAGTCGCCCGCCTGCGAAGCTCCCGCACAATCCAGACTACAGCTCCCAGAAGGCCGCGCGCCCCTCGCGCTCCGGGTCTGAGGCAAGAATGTCCCGGCCACTCTCGCGCCAGACGGGAGACTACGATTCCCAGTACACCCCGGGGCTGCGGAAAGCGGGTCAAACAGCACCTGTTGCCATAGCATCCGGGTCCGGTCCAACCAATCCGGGCGCCCCCGCCGAATAGAGGCGGGCCGTTCGTGTCTCCGACCAATCGGAGGCATGTTTGTTGCGGCGCGTGACCGGAGGAGGCGGGAGCCGAGGGCCGGCGCCTTCTCCTTGCTCGGTGGGGTCGTGGCCTTGCTCCCGCCGCGCGGGGAAGGCGTCCGCCGGTGCGTCCACGCGCGTGTGTGCGCGTGGGGCCTGAACTCCTCGTGCGTGCGGGCCAGGTCTGTGCGGGGGCGGGAGCAGGAGCCATGGGCGGGACCGCCAGCACCCGCCGGGTCACCTTCGAGGCGGACGAGAACGAGAACATCACCGTGGTGAAGGGCATCCGGGTGAGTGACAGTGGGCGGGCGGGGGCCCGCGCCCGGCCCAGCCCGGCCCCCACACCGCCGACCTTCCCGGGACGGCTCAGCCGGTGTCCCCCCGCCCGGGCCCCCAGGGTTGCCCGGCCCGAAGCCGAGCTGTGTCCGCAAGGAAGCCTGAAGTTTCAAGACTCGGGACATCCATTCAGAGGGATTGCTGGTCCTGTGCCAGGCGCTGAGCTCGGCGCTGGGGCGGGTGGGGGCAGCGCCTCGTGGAAGCCGACTGCCCCGCGGCTCGCAGTCTGGGCTTGGCTGTAGTGCCCACGAGCCGTGGGGCTCAATCTGAAGCCCCGGTCTTGCCTTCTGTGAAATGGGGCTTGTCTGAGCTCCTCCTGGGTTCAGGACCGCGACCTCATTTTGCGCCGGCCCCCGTTGCCCTTGTCGGTGCACGGCGCTTCGCGGAAACCCTGCTCTCCTGTCCTCTCCTCTCCCTTCTCCTCCCCTCCCCTCCCCTCCCCTCCCCTCCCCTCCCCTCTCCCCTCCCTCCCCTCCCCTCTCCCCTCCCCTCCCTTCTCCTCCCCTCCCCTCTCTTCTCCTCTCCTCTCCTCTCCCCCCTCCCCCCCTCCCCTCCCCTCCCCTCCCCTCTCCTCTCCTCTCCTCTCTCCTCTCCTTTCCCCTCCCCTCCCCTCCCTTCTCTCCCCTCCCCTCTCCCTCTCCCCCTCCCCTCTCCTCTCCCCTCCCCTCCCCTCCCTTCTCTCCCCTCCCCTCTCCCTCTCCCCCTCCCCTCCCCTCTCCCCCTCCCCTCTCCTCTCCCCTCCCCTCTCCCCTCCTCTCCTCTCCTCTCCTCTCCTCTCCTCTCCTCTCCTCTCCTCTCCTCTCTCCTCTCCTTTCCCCTCCCCTCCCCTCCCCTCCCTTCTCTCCCCTCCCCTCTCCCTCTCCCCCTCCCCTCTCCCCCTCCCCTCTCCCCTCTCCTCTCCCCTCCCCTCTCCCCTCCTCTCCCCCCTCTCCTCTCCTCTCCCCTCCCCTCTCCCTCTCTCCTCTCTCCACACCCCTCTCCCCCCTCCCCCCTCCCCTCCCCCTCCCCCTCCCCTCTCCCCCCTCCCCCCTCCCCTCCCCCTCCCCTCCCCCTCCCCTCTCCCCTCTCCTGTCCTCAGTGCTCTCCCTCTCCCCTACCGCCCGTTGCCGCACACGCACACGCACACGCACAGACTTCTGCCTGCCTGGGGTGCCTTCTAGCTTCTCGGCTTTCGCTTGACGCCTCCTCTTTTCCTCCTCTGCGGACGAGGCCCGCCTGCTTCGGGACGGGTGCCCGTCGGGTGCCCGCCAGCCTGACGCGGCCTGAGCTAGGGCTGCAGTGTCGGGAGACCGCCGCGCCGCCGAGTGCCGGGGAGTCCCGAGCCCGACGTCGCCGGGAAAGCCTTAACGCCCCCCGCGTGTGCCGCGTGCTTGGCGAGTAACCGGAACCCTTGGTTTCCCCCAGGGTGCCCGTACACCAGCACCAACTGCACCGAACACTCGTCGCTGCGCCTGAATCGGGAGCCTCTCAGTTTTGGGAGTATGCTTGAGCCTAGTCAATGAAGCAGTTTCACTTCTGGGAGTTCTGTGACCATTTTTTGGATTTTCTTTCTTTCTTGTTCCACAACCCGCATAAGTGAATGAGATGTGTGAATTGTGTTTAGTTCTGTTACCAGGAAATAAAACTTCTTAAATATTTAAAGTGTTTAAAGACTCTTACTCTGAAACTGTTACCGCGAGAAGAATTTATTAAAGCTTTCTCTGTAGAAACTCAGACTGTTGACCTCAGTTTTTGGTCTGTGACCACCATTTCTTGGTATCAGTTAATGACAGTACCACGTTTTGGGACAGAACGTCTGAGGCTGCATTGCATTGTTGTCGTTTAGTTTGTACTCTTTGGAGTAAAATAAAAACTATAAACTGCGTTTTATGCAGAGATTTGTTTAACCTTGCCTTAGGCTTTGACTTTTCCATACCTAAGGGTGAAAATGAAAAGTAAGGGAGAGCAAAACAAATTCTGGGTGAGAAGTCACTGGCTAGAACAATAGTTGAATCCATGTTCTCATGCCCTGGTATAGACAGACACAGTGACGAGAGCAAACAAAATGAAGAACACAGCACAAAATGGACACAGCACAGACCTTCATATCAAATGTTAGGTGAGGTTAGCTTCTGTAAGGATGATAATAGGGTAGATATTAGCCTAGAATGAAGAGATTGTTTAAAAGACTTTTTATGCACTTTTTCTTTTTTTAAATAAAAGGAACTATGTCTTTTGAACACACGACTTGACAGTAGTATTCTTTATTTTTGTCCTTTCTCACAGAGGGCATTGTATTTATATTATGATTCAAGCACACACCATGCCCCCTTTGACCTCCGTGCTTCACTTCACTTCAGGATACACCCTTCACCTGGAATGCCCTTGCAGTGGTCTCCCACTTGCTTCAAATCCTTCTTTTTCAAGGTTGATTTGCATCCCTGTGCTTCAGTTTGCTCATCTGCAAAAATGATGGGGCTTGAGTACATCTCTGAGACCTCTGATCTTTTCTGGTTCTGAAATTCTGTGAGTCTAGTGGCACTATAAGTTTCTTGTAGCCATATTCAGCCCATTGCAATTTCCTCTAAAAATGGCACGCTCTTGAATTGTTGAGTACTTGGGGGTCATCCTGAGTTCTTTGGGGTCTTGTTCAAAAAAGCATCAGCTTGGAGTTAAACAGACCTTGGTTTGAGTCTCAGATTAGATGTTTGTCATTCTGCGGCTTTGGACAAGTCACTTCTTCATATTTGGTAAGAAGATGGGATAAGGTATTTAAAGCACGTGGCACATTGTAGCTTTTTAAATAAAAAGCAGCTGTTAAGTAAGGTTCCTTCACATCTAATATTTGAAGGTTCTCTGGAGGTGCTGTGTAGTTAGAATAGCGGCCAGAGCACTTGGCTTTGGAAGCTGGCCAACCTGGCTTTAGTTCTAGCTCTGCCTCTCACTAGGCTCAGTGGCCCTGGACAAGTCACTTTGATTGGGTTTCCTTGTTCAGTATGTTTAGATACTGCAGCCTGCTTGTGGTATACAAGCATTTAGTGTTTTGACAATGTTTAGTACTTACATGAGTAGTAGATATTATTAGAGTTGTTCAAGGGAATGGGTATGTAAATTTACATTGATCTTAAAATGATTAAATAAGAGCATATTGTGCTCCCACAGGCATACCTAAAGATGTGGACTGAGAAAAAGGAGTCCTTAGTTCTGCAGCTGATTGCCTGTGTGATTTCCCTTTAGGCATTTTATATAAATTTTTCAGCTGATCTTTGTATTTTTCCTAAAATACACCCTCTTGCCTTGCCTTCCTCTCAAAACAGTCCTCTTGTTTCCCTCTGAGGCATGGGGAAGGATAAGCAACAATCTTGGTATCATAAGCTAGCCACTGTTTTTAGCTCAGTTGACTAAAACGAGGTGCCGATGAGGCCCAAACTTCAGCGTTGAACTGCAGATAGGTTCGTTCAACTTAGCTGAAGAAAACATTCCAGGTTTGTCCAATTGTCTAATATTTATGTCATCACACATAAGAAATGAGAGTGTAGCAGCAATTCACAGACTAAGTCACTGCTGGAAAACCAGTTCTGCGTTCCACTGATAAGGATAGTAATTTCATCTTCATTTATCTTAATATAGGAAGAGTAACATTTAGTAAGCAACATAAGGCTTTCAGTAACTAGGCTGTGTTTATTAATAGATAATGTTTTCCCAGATTTTTTTTTTTTTTTTTTTTTTTTTTTTTTTTGCTGAAAATGTCCTCAATGGTTAGCAATTAAAGGGCCTACTTAACAATTTTAAGTTTAAAGTTTATTCTCACCTACCAGGTGTTATTTTCATGGTGTTTATGGCATTTTGTTTATTTCCTTTATCCTTCACAGTTGATAGCTTTCCCTCCACTTGCATAAAATCACTCATATTCTCATACCTAATTCCAGCTTCAAACCTAAAACAACTCATGGGTTGGATGAAAGGCCACCCTCTTGCCTTGCCTTCCTCTCCAAGTTTAAAATCATTTCTAGGGATAGAAAGACCAGGCATTTTCATTACTCATATTACATGTGCTTAATAGGATTTTTCTGAGCACCTGCTGTGCCTGTTTGGAAGGTATGCTTACCATTCAGTCTTTCACTGGTTTATCTAAAACATCATAGCTGTGAGTGAACTCTTGCAGAGCAAATGTCAACTTCAATGAGTATCATTTTCAAAGTAATAAGTAATGCTTTCCAGGCATCAATGAAGCTCTGCAACTGGCCTTGAAGTTGCAAGCTGAAATTCATAGGAGCCATACATGCATGCAGTTGTATGGATCCTCACATGGGATGCAACTGATGCTTTGGGGAAGTATTGACAGTTGGGAGCCCCAAAATGAAAATATTATTTAATGTGAGATATTGTTGAGGATTCTGGAGAGTGTATATTAACAGAGGCAACAAATCAGTCAGTCACTGGGAGTGTTGAGGGATGCTGTTGAGGTAATTTAGCTAACTGGAGGATGATTGGTTCCTTTCCAGTTTAGATTCTATGACTCTTGGGCAGAGTACCCTGTTGAGCTTTATAGAACTCTTTTTTTTTTTTTTTTATTAAAGCTTTCCAAGAGGGGTGCCTGGGTGTCTCAGTGAACCATCTGCCTTTGGCTCAGGTCATGATCCTGAAGTCCTGGGATTGAGCCCTGTGTTGGGCTCCCTGCTCATCTGGGAGTCTGCTTGTCCCACTCCCTCTGCCTGCTTGTGCTCTCTCTCTCTGTCTCTCTCAAGTGAATGAATGCAATCTTTAAAAATCAAACAATCAATCTTTCTAAGATTTTAGACAGAAGTTCATTTCCATTAATGACAATTGCAAAGAAATACAAGTGGCAAATTACAAACATCGGCTAAAAGTTACCATATAAACTTTATGTTTCTCTCTTCCCCCACCATGCCCTTAAGTAAGTATTTGGGAGTAATATCTTCTATATAATAATGGCAGTTTTGGGAACCTATGT